CCTTGAATGAGTGTTGATGAAAGCTGTAAAGGCTTTTCATAAATGGTTTATAACAGTGTGTTGGCACTTCAGGGTGTTTTTAAAATAAAATGCTGGCTTAAAATAGCAAAAAAAAAAAAAAATTAGACATCCTATTGGAAATCAGACATCTAAAGAGATTGGAGAGAGAGCTATAACTGTAGCCAGAATCAGATCTATCACTTTCATCTCTACACAGTTAGTGTCCATAGCTAAATATTTCATTTGCTACAGTGCCCAGTTCCTACTTGCTAAAAACATTTGTCCAGAAAGAAATTTCAGGGCTTTATTGTACCACTGATACAACTCTAATACCACTAAGTTGATGAGGTAGAAGGAACCTGTTCTTAGCACCTGATTTGTATTCTAGCATTAGGCTGGTCCCTCTATTGGCTCTTTAAAATTACAATGTTTCTATTTTTGTAGTTTTTATTAATAAGAGGTCAGAAGTGTGGAGGACTGGGGAGGGATGTGTTAAAGTCTGTCTTCTTTACCTGGATGCCTTAATGAGAGTACCTTGCCATTTTTGAGACAAGGAAAAATCATTAAGAGCACCTTTCCCCTAAATAGTCAGTTTAGACATCTATCCTATATAATAAAAGCCCAGCGACTGAAACGGTGGGACAACCAGAATGACCAGAGACCAGAATGACCATGGCCCCTCACCCCAGCTGGCCCTGCCCCCTAGCTGGGAACCCATACTGATGCGGGGCCCCCATCAGGGCAGGCCAGCTGGCCCCCAGCCATATACCAGGGCTCTATCCTATATAATAAAAGGGTAATATACAATTTGACCCTAAGGACGGAATGACCAGAATGACCACTCGACCAGTCACTAAAAGGCATACTGACCACCTCTTAGTCCCTCTCCCCTGCCAGCAGGCTCCGATTGCCTGATGGCAAATGGGGATCAAGGGGTGGGTGGCAGGGGATGTGGGTAACACAGGTCAAGGCCCCCTCCCTGCCAGTCTCCCCACACACAAAGGGTGACCCGTGGCAGGGGCTAGACCAGCAAGCGGTGGGAACAGCCAACTTCTCAGTTCCTCCCTCCTGGACAGCAGGCTCTGATCACCTGTTGGAGAATGGGGAACCAGGGGTAGGTGGTTGCAGGGAGTGGGGTCGGCTGTGGACAGCCAGGGAAGATGGCCCTGATCACAGGACAGGCCTAGGGGCCATACCTGTGCACTAATTTCATTGCCGAGCATTAGTATATATGTAAAAGGCTAATATGCTAAGTGTCTGATCATCTGACTGGTCACTATGATGTGCACTGACCACCAGTGGGCAGACGCTCAATGCAGAAGCTGCTGTGATGTGCACTGGCCATTTTCAAAGAAATGGCACCACATACTGGTCCCCACAAAGCAACACTTGTTATCCCCCAAGTGGGACACAGGCTCCACTACTACCCCAGAGTGACCACCAAATCGCAGACAACACTGCCAAGACCCATGGCGCAAAATGCGGCCCACAGCGCAGACCAGCCTAGAAACAGTTGTTGTGGGCGTGGGTAATGAGGTCACATAGCAATGCCCGGCTTCCTCTCCCTAGTGACTAGCTTCCTTGCAGTTTCTTTAGCCCAGGAACACAATTTTCTTTATAGCCAGGTGGAAATATTTTACACTTTAACCACATGTCTGTGAAGCATTTTCAGGTGTCTCATCTCATTTGATCCTCACAGAAGTCCTGGAATAGGCAGATAGGAGACTTGATAGAATCCTATTTTCTTCTCATTAGCCAGTAAACGGAGATTTAGAAAGTTTAGAAACTTGACCTGACTGAAAAGAAGTAAGAAATGGTGGAACTTGAAAATGACTTCAGGTTATCTCACTGGGAAGAATATAGTCAAACACTGTTACAGTTAAATATTTACCCTTTGTTCTCCCTACATGATCTACAATGATAATCTGCTTCATGTTGATATTTACTGTTGTGTTGCTGACAATTACCTGAAAGAGAAGTTGGGGTGTTTCACTGGGCTCGCAAAAGTTTAGCTACATCAGAAAGCAGGTCTAATTAAGCAAGTTTATTCTATTTATCCTATCGAATAATAGACAAACATGGTATTTAACTGTACCTTCGCTATGCTTCCCATTGGCTAATCAGGGTGATATGCAAATTAAGCGCCAACCAAGATGGCGGCCGGCAGCCACGCAGCTGAAGCAAGCAGGAGGCTTGCTTGCTCCAGTGATGGAGGAAGTCAAGGTTCCCCACCTGCCACGGCCCGGCTCTAAGCTCCGA